GCATCCAAATTAAAGTGAGCCTGGTGTTAGACTGATTTATTCAATTATTTACACGCTATTTATATAATAATTATTTACATTGGTTTAATGGCAATAGTTACTTCAGCAGTTTACATATGTGTGTGTAAATGTCTATGACCTAGTTAGTCGCGCTGTACCGCGATTTTACTAAGTCGGCAGAAAAGATGAACTTTAATTATTACACATTTGAATTGTTTATTGCTATACCGAGTGTTCCCACAAAACATTAAAAAGACTAAAATGATGTAGATGTAGTATATTGCCTTAATTTGATATTTATTTCCAATTGTATTATAAAAACAATATCACATAGAAGGGAAAATTGCTGCAATGATTTTAAATATAAAGCAGAACATGATACTATTCACATTGATAAAATGTTTTAAAAATAAATAAATATTTGTAATAGAAAGAGAATAGTATTTGATTACTTGAATAAGAGGAACAAATTTTAATGTATAAAATGTTGATATTTTTGATACTGATGAAGTAATTTTGAAAAACAGATAAGGAAAAAAGAAATGAAAATATTGAAATTTATCATAGATTGACGTTTTAAAAAATCCGCCATTACAATATTATTTTCGCGAACCCCTCTGCAAACACTGCGAACCCTCAGGGGTTCGCGAACCACCGGTTGGAAATCACTGACTTAGACAAATGCTGAGGCAGTAATATTCCACAGATACTCTTTCATTCTCTTCTGTCTTCATTTCGTTCATTTCACCTTCCTCCACCCATCCCCACCATTCCTGAAAGGAGGCTGAAGAGGGCTTTCCGCCCTACCTTCCGGCGTAGTCCGGAGGGACCAGCATTAGTTTTTTCTTAACATAAACACAAAAACAAGAGTATATAAAAGCACCATAAGACCGATCATGAGCTACACGGCTGAGACGACAAAAAGACATACCATTGTTGTAAGAGTGGATTTTTATAATTAAAAAGATCAATAAACTGTAGAGTAGGTTAATAATAAATTGGTTGTTTATTGGTTGTTTTGTCCGATAAAGTCTAATTGAGGTAGTTATTAAACTTTTTTTCATTTTTTGTTCCGACGGGACTTGAACCTTGACGAAACTCTTGCACAAATTAGAGTGGGTGGATCGGCTTGCGAGTTTCAATGATTTAGGAAGCCTCACCATAGGTTCATCCATAACGGGGTTCTTAAAGAGATATAGAAGACGTGTTAAATTTAGTGAAACGACAGTAAAACCTAATAGTTGTAGAAGACCTCAACGCAGTAATAGGTGAGGGTAAAGTGGGCGCAATAGCAGGTTCTTTTGGATTAGGTAATAGAAATGATAGGGAGATAGGCTCATAGAATTTTGCGACAAACAAAACATAATCGTCGCGAATACTTTATTTAACCATCACGTTAGGAGGCGCTATACGTGGAAGATGCCAGGTGATATAGGGAGATATAAGTTAGATTACATATTTGTTAGGCAACGATTTAAAAATTAAGTGAAGGACTGTAGGAGTTATCCAGGAGCAGATATAGATAACGTTCATAACTTAGTAGTTATGAAGACAAATATTAAATTGAAAATTCCGAAAAAAATGGAAGGTAGGAGACGTCTTTTCTTAGAAAAGCTAAAATTTAACGAAGCGCCTGAAAGGCTAAGTAAAAGAATATAGGAAATACTAAAGGCGGTGGGAGAAACGAATAACAGGGGCATAGAGACAGAATGGACTGTGATGCATTAAGACATACCTAAAGTCAGTAGCTACAGATATAGGTACCAGGTCATAAAGGAAACGAAAGTAGGAAACCCTGGATAACAAATGAGATTTTAGGATTAATAGAAAAAAGGCGGAAATACCAAAACAGGACAGACGAAGAAGGGTAAAATAGACATAAGGCTATAAAGTGAGAAATAATTAGGGAGTGTAGGGCAGCTAAGGAACAGTGGATTGATAGGATATGTAAAGAGGTAGAAGGAAAGTTTGAAGTAGGTAAAACCGATGAGGCGTAAAATATAATTAAAAGGAATTTTAGAGATGTAGGGTATAGTAGTAATAATATAAGAAACGAGGCAGGGGTCATTTTGATAGAAAATGAGGAAAAAGCAGATAGGTGGAAAGAATATTTAATAACGGCGGAAAAGAAAAGGTTAGAAGCCTTCGAAATGTAGTGTTATAGGCAGATGATGACGATAACGTGCATGGAAAAGGTTAGAAATGATGAGGTATTAAAAAGAATAGGAGAACAGAGGACTGCATAGAAGTCAATAAGAAATAGGCAAAATAGGCTGGTAGGACGCTATCTCAGGCATGAAGGTCTGATCAGAGACATACTAGAGGCAGAAACAGGAGTTAAAAGGTGTACAGGTAGAGCTAGATTAGATTACTGTTCACAAATAGTTAAGGATGTGGGTTGTTCTAGTTTTAGGGAAATGCGAAGTTTTGCTCAGGATAGGAAAGAGTGGAGGTACGTGTTCAACCAGTGTTAGGGCTGACGACCTTCTGATGATGATTTTTTGTTGTCATCAGAGGTATCTATGGAAAATGTGCTGCGTAAAAATACTAGAAAATATTTTTAGGCCGATGGAATTCTCCTATGATGTGCTTTTAAGCTTTTTATTTCAACCCTCTAAAATTGCAAACGTTTCCAGGTAAGTTTTCAAATTTTATAAAAATGAATCACCATTGTTACAAATAATGGAATTTTATAATTAATAATACCTGCATTGTATAGAGTAGATTAATTGTACTTGTCTGATAAAGTGTAATTCAAGTACCTATTAAGTTTGTTTTTCATTTTTTTTGTCATCAATCATCATCAGTATTTTTGAAGAAAAATCACTAGAAAACATTTCTAAGTCAATGGAATCCATGTAGGATATATTATTTTAAGTTACTTATTTCATACTTTTAAATTTCAAACGGGCAGGGGTTACACTATCAGCAATCACCAATTCAATGAGAACGATCTACGGAGAAACCTGCAGCTCTTCGACAGTACAGCAAAGCAATTCAATATGACCATGCCCACTCCAACAATTAAATCATGACAACTGTGAAAGAATCACTTCGATGTAAGCTGGAAGTGAAGCACAATATTATGGAACAATAAATGACATTCAAGTACGTGAGAGTAAAACTATCATGTTTCGGAGATATCGAGAATGAACAAGTTATAAACGCTTGCAAAAGTATAATTTGCTTAAACGCCACCTTATGAAGGAATAAACACCTAAACATCATCTAGCAGCATGGTATAGAGGTTTAGATTTAGATTTAACTTAGCATTCGGGAGGACGCCGGTTCGATTCCAGGTCTGTCTGCCTTGGTCCAAGTTTATCTGTGGTTTTCTTGGATCATTTAGGCAAATACTGGAACAGTAATATTTCACAGATAATCTTCCATTCTCCTTTGTCTTCATTTCATCCGTCTTATCTTTCTCACCCGAACCATCTCTCACCCATTTCCACAATTCTTGAAAGGAAGCTGAAGAGGGTCTTCTTCCCTACCTTCCGGCGTAGCCCGGATAAATTGCCCACCCACCAGCATTAGTGACTGGTGGAAATAAAATACCCAAAAGTTACGTTTTTTCTAAACATAAACACAAAAACAAGAATATATAAAAGCTCCATAAGACCGATTATGACCTACGGCTGACACGATACCTGACACGTCTGAAACAAAAAGAATATTAACAGCAGCAGAAATGAAAATATATCGCAGAATTACTGGGAAAACCCTGTACGACAAAGAAAGATGTGAAAATATAAAGAGACTAAGTTAAGTATATTTTGTATACTACTTTAAGAAGACCAGTCAATTAATTCATTTTTTATAGAGATACTTTAAATGTATGTAAACAATCCACGATCTCAACTGCAATTAAAGCACAATATCCACACCGAAACGGTCGCCGTTGCCGGTTGGAGGAGTGCTAGCAGCGCGAGTGTCAACTTTTGGACATCATCTTTGGCACTTAATTTTTCAAAACTTTGTCTAGAAATTAACAAAAAAGATCTCTTTTTCTGACTTGTGCTTATTTTATTGAATTTACAAACAGCCCCACCCTTAAAATAATTCGAAGTGGTCTGTATTCTGTCGAAACTGCCAGATGCGGATCGCGATTTCGATCTTTTGTATCTCATCAGCGCGTTGCAGGCAGCCCGACACAATACAGACCAACCTTTTACCTGCTGTCTTAACAGTGCGATTTAGAAAATACTACAAATGGCACGGTGAGCGCCATCTGTAGTTTCGACAGAATATAGACCACTTCGAATTATTTTATTCGATTAAGCTAACGTGCCTATCACGTTGAGGTTGGCTACGCCAGGATTCGTTTTCAGCAAGTAGATATCCACACAAGTGGACCTTGTTAGAGTATACGTAATCCTAAAATGTAGCATAGTACTACAGATGGCGCTCACTGTGCCATTTGTAGTATTTTCTAAAAAGCCCTACCCTTTCTGGATACTCAGCCTTTCAGGTTTAATTTATGGAGCTCGGAAATAATTCGTTTCTAGTATTTACTGTTAAAAGCTAAAGGCTTTTATGTTTGTCACCAACTACAACCCATTACAGTCGTTGAATTAAAACACCAATGTAATTCTATTATATATTTGTATACCCTACTTAATACACTCATATTTAATAACTATATGTTACTGGACCCACATAGATATGGTTTTCATCGTAGCCATCATCAGAGAAAATGATATCAGCTGAAAACAGAACAAANATCGTCATAGAGTAGACCCTTTTGAGCATTTTATTTTCACTCTCAATTTTTAAATATTAAAACAATTGAGTGTCATGGTTTATAATTTTCATTATTTTGGAATAGCCGATCATTAGAGGTTATGTCCAACATCTTTTCTTATTGATACTAATCTTTATTATATGGAGGTCGGAAATAATTCGATTCTAGTGTAAAAGCTAAAGACCTTTATTTTAGTTAAGTAACTATAATACATTACAGCTGTTGAACTTAAATATCAATGTAACAGTGCTATTTATTTGTGTACTCTATTCCACGCTGACATCAGAGATGATGATTTAAGCTGAAAACAGAACAGACGATAACTATTATGAACGTTGAACTAATACCTTCGTTATTTAATCTTCATTTAACAATTCTAAGTATAAGAGAAAGGATTCTATGTGTGTAGCATATACACTCATCCTACCTACTAACAATCGAATCTCTTTTAATAGATTATTTACTCAAATTTTACAAATGCAGATGTACATGTATATATAGGAACGATTTTGATGAAAATGGAAAATTAATAATTAGTATATGAATAAAGCTGAAGGAAAATATATTTAAAATTATGATCTAAACAGTACAAAATACAACGGTTTTTTGTTTTATCAATACCTCCAAATCTTCTGATGCTTATACGTATACTAACAACTGTTTAGATAAATATACGGAAAAATAAAAAAATTTTAGTTTAATTGCTTATTGATTGTGTTGCCTGATAAAGTGTAAGTACCTACCTATTAAGTTTTTTCTCNTATATCACTTGCAAATCTAAGCCTAATAATATTTTACTGACTATTCTGATTCTTTGCAAATTGGATTATTGGTTTACGCTACACTCAGCCAGCAAAATTCTAACAAACTTCTCCCAGAAAGTCAGAAGGGGACCTCTACGACGATAAATCGAATATCAATATACAATGCAAGTAATTCTTTTTATGCCGCTTAGTGTAAAACTTCATTGCAAATATTAAAACACTTGTCTTTTTAATTTGTGTTAATTTTTAATTTAACTTACGGTTATGGATAGGCTGAAACAAACGTAACAAATAAGTACTATAAAAAACGTTTTTCAGTGTTATCCAATCGAATCCAAAAAGTTTTAGAATTTTCTGATTGTTTGCAAACTGGATTACTAGTTACAGGCTATACTCAGCCATTAAAATTGTAATAAATCTCTCCCAGGAAGTCTGAAGGAGATCTCTACTACGATAAATAAAATATCAATATACAATACAATTAATTCTTTTTATGTCGTTTAGTGCAAAATTTCATTACAAATATTAGAATCCTTGTCTTTTTAATTTTGTTAATTTTTTATTTTAATTAAACTTACGGTTGTGGATAGGATTGCTACCGCCGGGGTTTGTACGATTTTGAGAGGCAATGTTTCCACCATCAGCTGGCAAATTAGCTGAAACAAACGTAATAAATAGGTACTATAAAAATGTTTTCCAATTTGATCCGATCGAATCCAAANTTTTTATTTGTATGTCAGTTTGTGAAAAATAATTTTGTAAACAATGAAACTACCGATACGGTGCATTCAGAAAATTCCCTGTTACATTTTCCTTGAGTTTTTCCTAAAAATTCGGCTCGCAGGAGTTGGTCAAAGAATTCACCATTGGCTTCATCTTGCTGAAAATTTTCAGACATAATATCATTTACGTCATCCACTAGGTCTTCTGAAGGTCTAAAAATGATATGAAATATATTTTTTATTCGTAAATTAGAATGAGAATTTCTAATACTTTTCAATTTTTTTCTTATACCACTCTTCTTATATTCAGAACATAAAAGGATCACTAAGACTTACCAAAAATACAAACGATTGCGAAGAAAAATAAAATGGTTTTGGACATTTTGTTGCTTAAACGTATTCTCGTTTAATGAATATCTTTAAACCTTCTGATGCTTATATACAGAAAAATTTTGAACAATTGTTTAGATAAATATACTGAAAAATAAACTAATTTTAGTTTAATTGCTTATTGATTGTGTTTCCCGATAAAGGGTAAGTACCTATCTATTAAGTTTGTTTTTCACTTTTTTGTCGTCATAAAAATCCTAGAAAGCATTTTGAATCAAAGAAATCCCCGCATAGGGTACATTTTCTTTAGTTTTTTATTTCAGCCCCTGAAAAAGGTAAGTGTGAGGTTCATGTGGGTTTCATACCCTCTAAAACTCCATGTACTTTCGAGCGATTTGCATTTTAGTAAGATTGGGCGCCATGATAACAAACAATGGAACTTCTTGTCATCATAGGTTTCTCTAGAGAATGTGCTACGTAAAATTAACAGAAACCATTTTTATTTTTTTTTGTTTTTTTAATCGAATAACTATATTTTTTAACCTGTTTATTTCACACCTTAAAATTCCAAACGGGCAAGCCTTACAGAATGGAAAAAAAAAACTTTTGGGTGTTTCATTCCCACCAGTAATTTTGGTGGGCGGGCAGTCCCTCCGGGCTATGCCGGAAGGTAGGGCGGAAGGCCCTCTTCAGCCTGCTTTCAGGAATCGTGGGAATGCGTGGGTGGTGGTTCGGGTGAGAAAGATGAGACGNCTATAAAAATGTTTTCCAATTTGATCCGATCGAATCCAAAAAGTTTTAGACTTTTCTGATTGTTTGCAAACTGGATTATTGGCTACAGGCTATATTCAGCCATTAGAATTCTAATAAATCTCTCCCAGAAAGTCTGAAGGAGACCTCTACGACGATAAATCGAATATCAATATATAATACAATTAATTCTCTTTATGTCGTTTAGTGCAAAATTTCATTGCAAATATTAGAATTCTTGTCTTTTTAATTTTGTTAATTTTTAATTTTAATTAAACTTACGGTTGTGGATAGGATTGCTACCGCCGGGGTTTGTACGATTTTGAGAGGCAATGTTTCCACCATCAGCTGGCAGATTAGCTGAAACAAACGTAATAAATAGGTACTATAAAAATGTTTTCCAATTTGATCCGACCGAATCCAAAAAGTTTTAGACTTTTCTGATTGTTTGCAAACTGGATTATTGGTTACAGGCTATACTCAGCCACTAAAATTCTAATAAATCTCTCCCAGAAAGTCTGAAGGAGACCTCTACGACGATAAATCGAATATCAATATATAATACAACTAATTCTTTTTACGTTGTTTAGTGTAAAACTTCATTACGAATACTACAATCCTTGTCTTTTTAATTTTGTTAATTTTTAATTTAACTTAAACTTACGGTTGTGGATAGGATTGCTACCGCCGGGGTTTGTACGATTTTGAGAGGCAACGTTTCCACCATCAGCTGGCAAATTAGCTGAAACAAACGTAATAAATGGGTACTATAAAAAATGTTTTTCAATCTTATCCGATCGAATCCAAAAAGTTATTTTCAGTTAATGATATTTTATTCAGTAAAGATCAGTAATTTGTCTAAACCGTCAGTCGTCAGTTGCGATTGAACCTGTTAGATAATTTATATCATCATCATCTTCTTCAGAGTGTTGTAAGTCTTAAGACTGGTTGAACACATACGTCTGCTCTTTCCTATTCTCAGTTAATCTACGCATTTCTCTAAAACTGGAATATCCTACATCCTTAACCATTTGTAGACAGTAATCTTATCTGGATCTACCCGTATCCAACCAGACCTTTGTGCTTGAGGAGGTGTCCTACCAACCTATCAAGCCTACTTTTTATTGATTTCCATAGTGCCCTCAGGTCTCCTACTTTTTCTAATACCTGCTCATTTCTAACCTACTCCATCCACGATATCCTCAGTTTTCGTTCTTAACACTAAATCTGGAATATTTCTAACTTCTTATTTCCCGCCTGACTCACTGCTGCATTAACCGTTCGTAAGCATAGCAGTGACTAATTTCTATTAAGCCGACTAGATCCTGTGCTTTCCTTTGTTTTCTATTTCTATTGCTTCTTGCATCCCGAATTATCCGATTTCCCAGATATCGAAAATTAGCTGCTTCTTTCTAATTTTTTGCCCCTATCTTTATGTTCAATCTTTCCCTACTTTTTCTTCCTTTGGATATCAATTGTTTTGTTTTACTTTTATTTATTTTCATACCAAATTGTTTTGTCAATACCGTTTCCATTCTATTTAAGGCTAACTGTAACTCCTGCTCGATGCTAGTATTACTATATCACTTGCAAATCTAAGCCTAATAATATTTTACCTCTGTGTAGCTATTCCTAAAGTTGCCCTATCCTTAATGATGCTTATGACGTCTTCTGTATCTGGACTAAAAAGTAGTGGTGACAGTGTGACATCTTTATCTGACTCCCTTCTTAATATTTACATCTCTACGTTATTGCTCAAGTTTTTGTTCTCTATACAGACTATATATCACTCTTCTATCTCTGTATCTTATCCGTACATTTTTAATTAAAATAATATTTTGTACCATTTACCATTATCAAAATCTTTTTATTTTCTACTATTTTCTCTATTGCTACCCGTAAAGCAAATAGACGTATACAGAGAAAAAGGCAAAAAAAGCACATGATATTTCAGATATCTGAAGAAAATGGTTTTTATAAACTGGGTAGGTACCTACACCTAATGGTGTTTTAGGGAAAAAAACTAAATTAATAACTGCAAAAGATATTCCATCAGTGTCATGCTCAGTGAGGCAGATTGCTGCTGTGGAAACGAGGTCCAAGCAAGGAACTATTTTCGCCGACTACTCATTCAGTTTTGATTGTGTTTCGACAAAGAGGCGAATTCGGCACATGACCCTAGCATATGCACCAAAAAAAAAAACAAATAGCATAAAAAAGACGTGATGGCCGAACATGATACGTAAATCCCTGTCATTCTTAATTTTTGATCGTTTTTAATTTTTCTTACCGTTGTGAATGGGATCACCACCGTTTCCGCCAGGTACTGTGTGATCTTGACTGGAAACATCAACATCCTTAGCAAACACTTTAGCGAATGGGAGTTTAGCTGAAAACAGAATAAGTTATATGTTATATTATAACGTAAATGTTTATCGATGCTTTCCGAATTTAAATCGTTATTTTCATTAAACGTTTTTTTATTTGATAAGTTATTTATAGAAACAATCAGACGTGGGTTGTGATTTTGAATCTACTAGATTCCATCAGCACGGCATCCATTAGTTCGTATTATCATCAATGGGTGCATCATCTTTTGAAAAAGAAATAATTAATAAAACAGGTAGTATAAGTTCAATAAATGGTTGAGTAAAAACATTCACCAAATTATGCTAAGTAAGTAAAAATAAAATGCCTACAGTAAAAATATTGCTTCATATGTAAAATAGAAATATAAAATTATAAGATTCAACTAATCCGTTTTTAAATTAAATTCCTAAAAAAGTGCTCATTAATTTCTACCATAAAATCTAACGGAGTCCTAGCCGAAAATATTCAAATCAAGTTGCTTTATACCATTTGGTGTAAAATTTTCTTGTAAATACAATCTCTGCCATTATTAATTTTTGATAATTTTTCATTTTTCTTACCATTGTGGATCGGATCACCACCGTTTCCGCCAGGTACTGTGTGATCTTCATTGGAAACGTCATCCTTGGGGATTGCAAGTTTAGCTGAAAACGGAATAAATTATAGGCATTTATTACAATGGCTTATCTAAACAGTTACTTTCATAAAACAATATTGTTTAGGGTAGAGTATTATGTTTCGTTAAAAAAAATAAGTCATTGGCATTATAACGTAAATTTTTATCAATGCTTTCCGAATCTAAATCGTTATTTTCATTAAACGTTTTTTTTTTATTTGATAAGTTATTTATAGAAACAATCAGACGTGGGTTGTGATTTTGAATCTNCGTTTTTAAATTAAATTCCTAAAAAAGTGCTCATTAATTTCTACCATAAAATCTAACGGAGTCCTAGCCGAAAATATTCAAATCAAGTTGCTTTATACCATTTGGTGTAAAATTTTCTTGTAAATACAATCTCTGCCATTATTAATTTTTGATAATTTTTAATTTTTCTTACCATTGTGGATTGGATCACCACCGTTTCCGCCGGGTACAGTGTGATCCTCATTGGAAACGTCATCTTTGGGAATTGCAAGTTTCACTGAAAATGGAATAAATGTAGGCATTCATTACAACGGTTTATCTTAATAATTATTTTCATTAAACAGTATTGTTTAAGAAAGAGTATTAAGTTTCATTATATTGCAATAACTATGTCGTTAACCTGCTAGTACTCGCTATTATGAATCAGGGGAAAACAATAGCCAGTGCTAGCAACATAACGACATCGTTATTATAACGAAAAAAGTTGAGAACAGACTTGCAGCTGTTATATACGAGGGTGGATTGATAAGTTTCCGGCCTGACCAAGAAAAACAAGGTTTTTAAAAATTTTTTTTTTTTATTTCTCAACATAATCTCCTCCAAGGCTGATACATTTCTCATAGCGGTGTTCCAGTCTATTAATGCCATCTCTATAGACTGATTCGTCAAGCTCCTCAAAATAACCATTTACAGCTTCGATTACTTCTTCATTGTCCGCAAATCTCTTACCGCCAAGCCATTTTTTGAGATTAGGGAACAGAAAATAGTCACTCGGGGCTAGGTCTGGAGAGTAAGGAGGGTGCGGCATCAATTCAAACTTTAGATCGTTGATTTTAGCCGTCGCAACGATTGACGTGTGCGCTGGTGCGTTATCGTGATGAAACAAGATTTTTTTCTTCGCCAGATGAGGTCGTTTAATTTTCACCTCGTGGCTCAAACGTTGCAATAAGTCTGCGTAGTATTGACCAGTGATAGTATTACCCTTTGCAAGGTAATCAATGTATATAATACCTCTTGCATCCCAAAAAACAGTAGCCATAACCTTGTTCGCCGAAAAAATTGTTTTTGCCTTCTTTGGAGTTGGTTCCCCTGGTCCAATCCACTGTTTAGACTGTTCTTTGGTTTCAGGAGTGTAGTGGTGGACCCACGTTTCGTCAACGGTTACGAATCGACGCAAAAATTCGCTTGGATTACGCTTATACAATGACAAATTTGCGGTAGAAATGTTTTTTCGAATCAATTTTTGGTCGACTGTTAGCAAACGCGGCACCCATCTTGCACAGAGCTTTTCCATATGCAAATGTTGGTGCAAAATATGTTGCACACGTTCATATGACATCTTACAGGTCTCAGCTATCTCACGCACTTTCAATCTGCGGTCTCCCAGCACTATTTGATGAATTTTTTCGATCATATCTGGAGTTGTGACCTCAACGGGGCGTCCTGAGCGAGGCCCATCAGAGGTGCTCACACGACCCTTTTTAAACTCGGAAACCCACTGCTTAACGGTTGAATATGACGGGGAGGATGTCCCCAGTGTTGAGTCCATCTCTTTTTTAATTTCCTTCGGCGTTAACCCCTTCAAATAAAAGTATTTGATGACAGCACGATTTTCCTGCTTTTCCATTTTTACGAAAACCACAGAGGCGTCTTGTTCAGCGTGCTGTCAAACCTACACTAGCAAGGAGATCGGGCTGAAACTATAGCTACAAGCTATCCAAGGATGGTACTATAGAATGTCACCTCAAGGTAGGCCTAGTGGCGTCATCTCTTGGTTAGGCCGGAAACTTATCAATCCACCCTCGTATATCACCTGAATATGCTCTTGGTTTGGGAATGAATACAGAAAATTCAAAATAGTGGAAAATTTTCATTAAAATGAAATTGCTGCTTTGACTAAACTTTGATTTTTTAGTTTTATTTTATCTTTAATGCTCTTTTACGCCGTGGTAGGGCATGCTGAGTTCTTGTTTGAGTTTGTATTTCCATTATTATCAACAGAAATATATAAATAATTTATTTATACCTAAACTACTTTGAAAGTTGTTACGCAAAACAAAATTACTGAATTTGTCTGGATGACCTTTGACCGCTTTGTGGTTTCTATTAATAAAATAAAATGTCTGTCAATTAAATTGAAATATCTGCAACTTTTTGGAGTCATTTGCCTATTTGTATGATAGTAAGGCATAAACGATCCGTTTTGTCAATCTGTTTGTGCATGCGGAGTAATCTTGGTTGATAGGAAACTTGCAAACTCAAGACATTAAGAGGAGGTTGTAAGAAATGATTTGGTCTAATTTCTTTTAATTTTTCTTCACGTGGGCGAAGTCACGGAGTAAGAGGTAATAAATAATAAATAAAAATTACTTACGATTACTAGCTGCATTCAAGTTGGCTCTGGCAAGGATACCTAAAAGAAAAAATTAACATTTAACCCCTTGCAAAATTTGAAATCATGTCATTTAAATGCACGTTTGTTGAAGGTAGATGAGAAAAGATAAAATGATTTGAAATTAAGGACAGAGGTGCTTACTGCGAGCTAATCGTTATAATTTTATGGCAGTCGAAATTTATATTATAAATTGTCAAATCTTTTTTTTTTGTTTCTTTAATATTTCTTCTTTAATTCTTCAGTTTTATGTGTTTTGCTTTTCTTTTCATTCTTGTCAAACATTTTATCAATGGTCTCTGAGTTAATAACGAACACTTGTTCTTCCATACATTCAAATTACACAATATTGTTTAGTTGAAAGATTTACCAGGTTGTATTCAGACCGTGAAGTTCTTATTAATTAAATATAAGGGGGAGGAGGGCGAAAGGTGAATTTTCATCTATTTTCTTAAGTAACCTTTAAACTATTTATTTTAAAATTATAAAAAATATATACTTGAGACCTCTATAACAAGCCCTTTCATTTGATATGTCACA